TTTCCCTCAGCAATATTTTGCTTGTTTTTAGTGTGTAAGTCTTACACTGCTTTTATTAAATATATCCATTTTTAAGTTGTTCACTGGTAGTAAATAGAAATAAAATTGATTTTTGCCTATTGATCTTGTATCCTGCAACCTTGCTGAACTCATTTATTAGCTCTATCAGGTTTTTTTTGATTCCTTAAGATTTTCTACATACAGGGCGCCTGGGTGGCTCAGTGGTTAAGTGACTGCCTTCAGCTCAGGTCATGATCCCGGAGTCCTGGGATCGAGTCCCACGTCAGGCTCCCTGCTCAGCAGGTAGTCTGCTTCTCCCTCTGGCCCCCTCCCCTCTCATGCTCTCTCTCACTCTCTCTAATAAATAAATACAATCTTAAAAAAAAAAAAAAGATTTTCTACATACAAGATCACATTGTTTATGAATAAAGAGTTTTATCCCAGTAACAGAAAACTTTCTCCAATATAGCTCTCCTCCATTCTCCTCCCTTTGTGCAAATACACATGCCATCTTTATATCTTATAAGCTCAACAACATAGTTTTAAAATTATTGTTTTATTCAGGTATCTTTTAAGTTATTTAAGAAAAGAGGAATGCATAATTACTTTTACCAGTGCTCTATTTCTCAGTGAATTTGAATTACTGTCTTAAGTCATTTCTTTTCATATGAACAAACTTCTATTTGTATTGTTAGGCAGGTAAGCTAGCAACCAACTCTCTCAGTCTTTTTTTATTTAGGAATGTCTTTATGTGATCTTCACTTTTGAAGGATAGCTTTCCTTGATTGCTAGGTTGTTGTTTTTCCCCCCTACAGCTCTTTGACTATGTATGCCATCCTACTGTCTAGTTCCTCCATTGTTTCTGATGAGAAGTCAGCTGTTAATCGTATTCTTGTTATATCTATAGATCTTTTATTCTGTGAGGAGCTTAGTACATTTGAGCCAGACATTCTATTACAGATATCCAAAGAGCATGACTTTTTCTTTGATTTGGTTTGTCAGAAGTATGGTGAACCTTCTGGACTGCCAATAAAATCTGGGCTTCTTAAACTCAAGGGTAGGTTAGTACTAGATGAAATTAAAATAAATATTACACATTAAATACATATTAAAATGCATAAAATTAGATAGAATTAAAATGGTAAGGAACTCAATTACCACATGACTACATATGGCAGTTAAACAACAACAACAAAAATTCAACCAAAAAAATACATGAAAGTAATCTCAGAATAGGAAGTAGTCCCAAGGCACTCTGGCCCTAAGCACAACAAAAAATCTTCTTTTTTTTTAAGATTTTATTTATTTATTTGACAGAGAGAGACCCAGCGAGTGAGGGAACACAAGCAGGGGGAGTGTGAGAGGGAGAAGCAGGCTTCCCGCGGAGCAGAGAGCCTGATGTGGGGCTTGATCCCAGGACCCTGGGATCATGACCTGAGCCGAAGGCAGACGCTTAATGATTGAGCCACACAGGTGTCGCAACAAAAACTCTTTTGACAAAACTATGGAGACAATGGTAGTAGAAACCACCAAGAAATATTAAACATATACTCAGCAATGATTTATCTTTAGTATATTTCAAATTCTGTTCAATCCATGACCCAGACCCAAATTAAGAAACATGGAACAAGTAATTATGAACAAGATGGAAAAGTTTCTATAAAAGGTCTTTTACCAGATCAGAACAGCAGAGATTCATTAATATCTATTGCCCATGGCTGAAAAGTAATAATGATTTTGTCCAATTTATAGAAAAGGGGAACTCTCAAAAAGATTCCAAATCTCCTTTATTTTTTATATCATCTTGACAAAAAAATGAAGAGGTAAGGAAAACAATAAGGTAGGCCTACATACCAACATTTTTAAGTGACAGTGGGAGAAGCTACTCAAAATGCTACCTAGGCTTTTTTTTTTTTTTTAAGATTTTATTTATTTATTTGAGACAGAGAGAATGAGAGACAGAGAGCATGAGAGGGAGGAGGGTCAGAGGGAGAAGCAGACTCCCTGCCGAGCAGGGAGCCCGATGCGGGACTCGATCCCGGGACTCCAGGATCATGACCTGAGCCAAAGGCAGTCGCTTAACCAACTGAGCCACCCAGGCGCCCCTACCTAGGCTTTCTTTTAATATAAAGAATACTTCAGAAATACTGTAACATTTCTAAAATGGTAGAGCCTATCAAATAAGACTAAAGTAGAAGTTATAAGCATCATAATTTGAGGTGACATTAAAATTCAGGTTCACAAAAAAGAAGTAACACTCAACTGTGATAAGAAAAGCTATACTCTAAAATGTATATTGGCCAAAACTGTGGTTACTAGATCCTCCCACATCCAAGACCACAGTTATACTATGGGTAAGAACTATTTCTTAAGATCAGGAAATGAAGTGGCAGACACACATCAACGAAATATTTTAATCTAAATAGAACATGTGAAAAACATTTCTAGAATCCACAATGAATCCTGGCTGAATAAATGAGAAAATTCACCTTTGATAGCATAGCAAGAAAGAGGATGAGGGAGAAACAAGGAAAAAATGGAGTAAATGGAGTAGTTTCAAGGAAATGGCAGAAGTCAAAGAAGAAAATCATATGACAGGGCATTCTTCTGGTGAACTGCGGATTTAATTAAACTATAAGCAAAATTTATAATATGCAGTTTGAGCCAGATGCCACCAATGCAAAGAAGAAACAGAAAAAGTCTCTTAAAGTCAAATAAATGCCTCATGAAAAATGAACTGCTGCCATCTCCATCATAAAATCTGGATATTAGTTAAATTAAAAAAAAACACCTTATTTTGAGAACAAATAAAATTTACTGTTTACCTGACATCCTCATTCAGGATCAGAGTTATTACAGTGATGCCCTTCCTGACATTAAAACAAACTTGTTGACCAAACTTACCCAATTCCCATGAGAGGGAATGTTCAGGTAAAAGAAGCCTGTCACAAAGAACAAAACAGATATCATAGGAAGCAAGATGATAATCTCCAGTTGGCGTTCAAAAAGAAACTTATTTTGCCTCTCTAAACTCAAATGGCAGAGCCTATAAGTAGCTTCAATTTCATTTTCATTGCACATAAGACATATTGACTTGACTACCAGGCACTTCCTGAAAACATGGTTTTAAAATTTTCTCATGACTAAGTCAAAATGAAAATTCAAAAGTATCTCTTTTTTTGCTTTGAGGGTGCTCTCTCCATGTACTTGGCCAACATCTTCATTCTACTACTAGTGATTTTTTTAGTTTTGTTCCTCAAAGTTAAGGTTAGAGAGTCAGTGTTAATTATGAGGGGTCTCTAGTGAAACCGCCAAGAATCACTAACTTAAACAAAACATTAATACCCGAGAAAGTTTTTTTTCCCCCAATTTCAGAAGTAGATAAAAAAAGAAAAGAGAGAGGCCTCCTTATCTAGAAGTCTTTAGTGCCCCCTAGATGCCTCCAGAGCCCTCTAGTGACTATTTATTGACTCTCAGTCTATATATTTAAGGTCCAAAGGCTCTACACTGGCAATCGAAAAACCCTCTGCCTCCCCTCCAATACCCTTGCCAAATGGGTTGCCCTTCATTTTTGTGGCCCCAACACACCTTTGTCATATAGACAGAAGGAATGGAAATACAAAAGCAAAGGTCCGAAACCTGATCTTTATGGTACAATTTTCTCTAACCCACCCGAGAACAAGAGACAAGGACCACCTTGCAAACTGCCTGCCCTGCTTTCAAAGTGGCAGGGGAAATCCAGCCAAACCATCAAGATTAGCTGCCACCATCCTCTGTCATTTTATAGTCTACGTTTTTCAGAAAACAGAACAAAAGAAACTATTTCAAGTTAGAATACAAATAAACCATTCATACTTCGGCCATTTTTTTTAGTTTATTTTTCTTAGTAATTTCTATGCCCAACATGGGGCTTGCCTGAACTCACCACCCCAAGATCAAAAGTCGCATGCTCTACTGACTGAGCCAGCCAGGCGAGGCCATTTCTTATAAATGTTGTGACTTCAAAACAAGGACATAAGTCTGAGCTACACAGCATTCCAGCAAAATTATTATTTATTATCTTAACCTTTCCATGAGTCTAAACTTTAAGTTCAAAACTGAAGTTTTCTTGGTCCAAACTCTTCACCTATCTGAGATAGTGGTCTCTGGACTGAACAGCAATGATATTCTTTAGAAGGGTTGCAAAAAATCATTCACAGGACCTGATATTATTCAAGAGGGGAAGATAACACATTAGCACATTAGCCAGGCTTTAATATTTAATATGAATGACTTGGACCCTACTGCACAGTTTTTTCTACAATGTTTTAGTATATAACACTTACTGTTCTCATCCATTTGAATATTTAAACTCATTTGGATATGAAAAAGTACGAAGTATCACTTGCTAGAGGGCAAGAAGTAAGTTTTTAGAGCTTGTTTCACATCACAACTGGCAGGGTTCTGAGCCTTCATTTAATTATACAATATATACCATTTAATGATATGTATATAAATGTTATATACAAAGACTCTTATACATACTTATGTGATTAATATATACATACAAACATAAAATCATGCAAAATACTCCAATTTTCTTCAATTAAAGATTTTATAAGTCACCAAATCACTTTTATTATTCTAAAAATGTAAACGTGAGTTAGGCAAGGCTCGTTAATGTTTTCCACAAGGACAATGAGTAACAACAAACCGCCCACCTGATCTTCTTCATTAAGCAACAGAGCAGTGAGTTTTCTTTACCATTCCTGCTGTGCTTTCTTACAACTAGGAGCTTTCCCACTGACCCAGAGCCTGCTTCAAGTAATCATTCCTGACCTCTGCGCCCCAGGAATAGGAGATGAAAAAAAAAAAAGTAAATGACACTACCTCAATCACATGCTATACTTACATGCTTTAAGACAATGTTATATTCTGTGACTCAAAGTAAAGGCAAATGATTCTTCGGACATCTTGCTGATCCATTAAAGTCAAGAAAAGGTAAGAATAAAGATGCTTACCTGTTGTTCCTGCACTCTAGCAGCACCAAGTTCTGAGAGAGACATGGTGAGCTTCTCTTGCTGTTCTGATAGATATTTCTGATAGAGACTTAGAAGTTCTTGGCATTCTCTATACTGTAGCTGAAGAGGTGAGATTGTAAATTAAGGGAAAAAAACGAATAAACTGATTCAAACTGTATCTATCAGTGCTGCTTTTTAGATTCCAATAAACAAAAGAGAGAAAAAAGTGCAACCATATTTGGTGAGAGTGCACGTAGGTGAACACAGTACATATATCCACCCCCCCAAAAAAATCATGTAAACAGTAATTTGCAAAGAGAATAGCAATGGTCATCTCATTTGAAGAGAAATTTCTCTCTCAAATCTTTACATTTGAATGAATAAAAACAAACATGCAAAAGAATGAAGTTCTCATTCTTCATGAGAGACTCCTATCTCACACCATATACAAAAACTAACTGAAAATGGATCAGTGACCTAAATATAAGAGCTAAAACTGTGAAACTCATAAAAGTAAATCTTCGTAACCTGGGATTAGGCAATGGTCACCTGAAAGCACAGAAGCCAAAGAATAAACACATAAATTGGACTTCCAAATTTAAAAAATAAAACAAAAAAACCGACTTTTGCTTCAAAGGACCCTATTAAGAAATTGAAAAACAACCTCCGGAATGAGAGAAAATATTTGCAAATCATATAGATGATAAGGGACTGGTATTCAGAATATCTAAAGACCTTGTACGATTCAACAATAAGGAACTATTTAACCTAATTAAAAATGGGCAATGAACTTGAATAGACATTTTCCAAAAGAAAATATACATATGTCCAAGCAGCACAAGAAAATATGCCCAATATCATTAAACATTAGGAAAATGCAAATCAAGACCATAATATGAGATACCACTTTGTATCTACTAGGATGGCTATCATCAAAAAGACTGACAATAAAAAGCTTTGACAAGGATGTGGAAAAAGTACAACCCTCCTATATAGCTAATGGGAATGTAACATGGCACTGCTGCTTTGGAAAATAATTTAGCAGCGCCCTCAAAAGTTAGGCATTGAGTTACGTATGACTCAGCAATTGCACATTTAGGTATAAGCACAAGAGAATAAAAAATATATGTCCATACAAAAACCTATACATGAATATTCAGTGTAGTATTCTTCGTAATAGTGAAAAAGTGAAAACAACTCAAATGTTACCAAGTGATAAATGGATAAACTAAATGCAATATATCTATACAACAGAATACTCTTCAGCCATAAAAGGAAACAAAGTATTGCTACATGCTACAATATGGATGAACTCTGAATACATTACGCTAATGAAGACAGACACAAAAGGCCACATATTGTATGATTTTATTTACATAAAGATGTTGGGGTTTTTTGTTGTTGTTGCTGTTATTGTTTTAAATACCTATTCCAATGAACTAGGGGAAAGAATACCCAGTTCTAAGTATACAGGATCACAAGTAAGTTTTAGTCATCCACATTCACTTTCTGTCCTCTTCTCCAATTTTCTGAAGTATATATTACATGAGAAAAGCTGAAGGAAAAAAAATGTCCAGAATAGGCAAATCCATAAAGATAGAAAGTACATTAGTGTTTGCTAGCACTAGGGGTGTGGGAGGGCGAATAGGGAACAACTGCTAACGGGTACTGGTTCTGGGGGGTAGGCAATGAACATGTTCTGGAATTAGACAGTTATGTTTGCACAGCTTTGGGAATACTCTCAAAACCACTAACTTGCAGGGCGCCTGGGTGGCTCAGATGGTTAAGCGTCTGCCTTCGGCTCAGGTCATGATCTCAGGGTCCTGGGATCGAGTCCCGCACCGGGCTCCCTGCTCCTTGGGAGCCTGCTTCTCCCTCTGCCTCTCTCTCTCTCTCTCTCTCTGTGTCTCATGAATAAATAAATAAAATTAAAAAAAAAAAAACCCACTAACTTGCAGACTTCAGGCCAGACTGGGCGCATTCAGGGTGGTATGGCCATAGACTTAACTGCACACTTCAAAAGGGTAAATTTTATTGTGTGTTATACCTCAGTAAAACTGCTACCAAAACAATGCAGAGTAGAAGTGATAATACTGTTGCGGTAAAAATAATTACTGCCTAATTGACAAAGAAAGTTCTAACCATATTAAACATAAAGGGATTATAATTAGATTTTTGTCTTATTTTTCTATAATGTCAATTAAGTCAATGTTTTGTAAATAAAACCATCATCAGGAAATTTTCTGCCCATATACCTCTCTACATTTTTCATAGTCTAATGTGAAGAACAGCTCCTCAAACTTGCAAAGTGCTCAAGATGAAGATGCTAATTGGAATGGTCACCTAACTGTGTAGATCAGGTGTGTGAGAGACAGTTCCATCCAAGAGAGAGTTCTGTTTCTTCTCATTGTGGTAATTTCCTCCCCAGGCCCATTTTTCTCTCAGATCATTTCCAAATCTCCCCCTTCGCACTTAATTATGTATGCTGTTGGTATAAAAATCACTGTCCAATGAGATTATTCTGTATAAATACTTTTACAATAGGTCATCACGATTAAGGGTGGGAGCAGTATTTTGTAAATGTCAAAAATGGTGACTGGTTTCAGTATTCCTTAACATTTTCATAACCTAATCATCGCCTCTGGGCAGGTTCCTGTTCTAATAACTTTTGCCAATCATGACTGCATAAATAACCAATTGCTTCATTATTCTCATTATTAACCTTTAACAAAAAAAGGAGCCAGAGATGGCTTATAGAAGAGGAGTGGTTCTAATAAAAGGAAAGGTTACTAAGTTTAAAGAATACATTAATTAGAAGAGCTTGTTGAATACTCAGTATCTTAAAAACAGTAACAATAGAAGGAACAGTGTTCTAAATAAGCTAATATGATTTCAAAGTCAATCTATGTCAGACTAGGCTGGTTTTCCATTGCATGCTTTTTGTCAGTAAGCTTCAAAAGACGAGAATGATGTGTGATGGTCCCAGGAGTTCCTGCCAGCTATCATGTACATAAAAAGAATTTTTTAGTCTGGCTGTTACCACAGTCAGTAATGTTTACAGTAGATGAACAAGTTACCTTCATGCAGAATAAGAATTATACTCTGGAAAAAGCCAGCACAATTATACAGCCTAAGAGTTAAATGTCAGCATTTGAAGACAAATTACAGGCAAATTCATTTAAACACATGCTATGCGGCAGAATATAAAAACAGGCAGTCTTATCCTTAATCAGTTTTTTATATTTGTCTTGATTCACCAGATTTTGAAATGCCCCCCTTTTCCTGGAAAATCCAAAATATATGTCCAAACAATACAGTAATTTTCCCTCCTCCCTAACACAATGAGACTTCACCCCGCCTCTGGAGAGAAAGATTTATATAAAGAAAATGTGGGTGAAATTCTTTCTTCACTGATTTGGGGGCGGGAGTACAGTGAGAAAAAAGACATATTTAACTCAATCCTGGCCAAATGACAGAAAATAATGCAACAGATGTAGAAAATTCAATCTAAGGGAAGGTGTACACCAAACCATGACTGACAAGAATCAAACATACAGGGACACCTGGGTGGCTCAGTTGGTTAGGGATCTGCCTTCGGCTCAGGTCATGATCCCAGAGTCCTGGGATTGAGTCCCGCATCAGGCTCCTTGCTCACTGGGGAGTCTGGTTCTCCCTCTGCCTCTCCCTCCGCCTGCAGCTCCCACAGCTTGTGCACTCTCTCTCTCTGACAAATAAATAAATAAAATCTTAAAAAAAAAAAAGAATATAACATACAGGTAATCTGGAAAACCACCATTCAAGAACTGAAAGAAACAGCAGTCGTCACAACCTCATCAAAGAAAGAAATCTTCATAAGATAAACAATTATAAATTAAGATTAAGCAAGATCATATCAAAACCTAAACATCAAATTAATTAGCCAAAATGGCTGCTGGAAATGATCATTTTGCAAACCTTAAAGCCTTAATTCCAAAATGCATTCTATAGGTAAATACAAGTAAAGGTCAAAGTAGAATGAATAGGGACATAGGGAGAAAGAAAAAGAAAAATCAAAGGTGGAGGGAGAAGGACCAGAGACAGGATGTATTACTAGTAGGCTGCCAAAGTAGGAAGTGATCGCCTTAAGCTGGAAGATTTCCTCTGGCATAGCAAAGACCACTCTTTTACCCCATCCCACCCTTGCCTTGGACATTTGGGATACTGAGATCTGGTACTTAGTAATCCTGATTTAATACAGAACTCAATGAAGGAACATCTATATGGCAAGAAAAAAAGGGAGCATCATTAAACTAAAAAACAAAAACAAAAACAAATAAAAAGCACAATTCTCCTTTTCTGGAACCACGACTCCTTGGAAAAAATGGCTAATTCCCATTTTGGGGTATGGGAAGTACAAAGTAAGCTTGAAACATGTTGCTATGCTATATTGGAAAAAAGTATGTAAAGAGAAATAGATGGGGACTTGTCAAATGGAATAGAAGCAACCCTGAAGGAGATTCTCATTAGTCAAATTTGGGACAATATGAGCATTGGAAGGACTGACTCTAACAGCAAATTTAATAGATACATATTTACCAGTTCATGGTGATACTTCAAAAAGATAGAAAAGCATGAAAGGGGAAAAAAAGTAAAGCCCTTCTTTACAGAAGAATCCTAGCTAATTACTTGGAAGGAAAGGTCAAATTTTAAAAATCACCATTTTATAACCCCCAATGCAGTAACTCATTCAGACAAGGATCATTAATGGGGATTGAAACCAGTAGGTGAAAGATTAATAAATAAGATATAAGGTGTCAAGATTAGTTACTTAGAGCAAAGAAGAAAATGTGCCCTTAAATGGTGAAATCTGGTAGTCATTACCCAAAGTGAATTAATTTAAGATCACTAATAGTGAAAAAAATAAAAATTATGTACCTCCTAATGTATAAAGTAGGCAATATTGCCTATGAAATATTCTTGCTAAATGTTTTATTTGAATTTAATCAAATCTGTAAACCTAACTCCCATTTCAAAGAAATGAGAAAAAGGAACAAATTAAATTATAGCACAAAGAACCAATCAGACAAATCCAGAATATGGGAGATTTTGCAAAGTACTCTTCAAGCTCTTTGAAGTCTTCAAAAAGTCC